GGCCCCTGCCCCGCCGCGCGCCCGCGGCCTGGCCCGGCTCCGCTCCGCCGTCTGCGGCTCGCGAGCTGACAAATAAAAATATGATTACAGAAAATACCCCGTGGCAAACCTTATTATGGCTTCAGAGATAACAGATAATGCCAATTACTGCGCAGGGCAGTGGTGACATTGAGAGGAAATCCCCTGCGGTAACGAGCAGGGGGAGATGATTATTTCATTTTATTTTTGTTTTGGTTGCGTTTCGTTTTGTGTGGTTTCTTTTTTTTTGGTTTTTTTTGGTTTTGGTTTTTTTTGTTTTTTTTTTCCCTGAGCGTGCACAAGAGGGGTTAAGGCAGGTTCTTTATGAATATTGATAAATGACAATTATGAGGGCCCTTTCTCCTTTCCTTGCCCGGGGCTGTGCTCGTTTGAGTAGACGCAAGGAGGGCTCTTGCTGGAGAGTGTGCGTGCCTGCGTGGGCATGGGGATGTGTGACTTGGAGGGCTGAGGCAGTGAAAAACAGCTTTGTTTCGCTCTGCCTCCTGTTCTTCCCTCAGCGCAGGGAGGGGAAGGCTCCCCGTAAAACAACGCTTCGAGATTTCACGGCGGTGGTGCCAGAATCTCTGGTATATTCCTGCAGGCAGGAGCTGCAGAGCACTGCCAGTAAGGGAAGCAGGCTTTTAGGGAGAAATCTGGGGTGTCTCTGAGAAGCAGAGCTGAAGAATGCCTGGTGCCATGTTCTGCCATGTAGTGCCACCCTCCTCACAGCTCCTGCTCTGCTCCTGCTTCATTTATAAGGAGCGTGTTGGGGTGTTCTGCAGGGAGGGTCTGTCAAATGCTGAAGACTGCAGCAGACAGACACCTCGAAATCATGACTCAAGGCCTCCAGATGTGAAACTGGTCTAGAAATGGTGGAATTTAATAAGATGGGTTGCTGGTTTGTTTGGGAATTTTTCTGGCACTTGAGTGTTCAAGTTCTCTTTCAGACCATCAGAAGTAAGAAGGGTGCATTTTTCCCCTGTTGAAAGCTGATACTCACCATTCATTACTTGAAACAGGAGTGTCGGTTCTGTGCTCAAGACTCACTGTAAAACGGTGAGGAATTTTCAGATATCACTTGTACAGGGAACTGGAGAAAACCCATCAAAAGCAGCAGCTGCAATGCCAAAGGCAAAGTTACCAGCTCAGCTAAAGTCAGGGAACATGTATTTTTGTGAGTTTTCTTCTTTATGTAAGCCACTGGAAACTCAAAAATGGCACAGTCTTACTGTAAGCATAACCAGGTAACATTTTCTGGGAAGTGCAGCAGTGGTGATCAGATGTGACAGGCTGTATTGGCTTTGAAATACGTGAATATATGCTTTGAGGAGAGGTTGGCAGGGAGAAACAATGTATTTTAATGGATCAATGGAAATACTTGTTTAAAAGCAAAGAACCTTTTATGCATACAAACACTTCCCCAGGACTCCTGAAATGTTTATACATGTTGTCCTTTTTCCTAGCTATAATTATATTTACTTGTTCTGCAGAATTCTGTGAAAACCAACTAAGTTTGAGCATAGCAACCCTGGCTATAAACCAATAATCTTCTGTAGGTAGATACAAGGTACATGTTTGGATCTGATTTGCAGAAGCAAGAGAAAATAAGATTAAAGGGTTTTTTTGCTCATGAAGTTTAAATTAATGCTTCTCATGCTCTTAATTGTTCCTGATAAGTTATTTCCATCACATCAGGTACTTTAAGAGGCATACTGCAGAATAATTATTCTGTGGTCTGGCCCTTCTGGGAGTTTGGGGTCAGTAAGAAAAGCATTTGCAAAGTAGCCAACAATTTGATTAGTACAAATGACCTGCAACTACTCCAATTAAGGGGTTTCTTGGGTTAGAAATCTGTGACCTACAATGAGTTGTCATAGAAACTGATATGAACGTTTCAGCTCAAACATCACTTTAAAATAATGGCTTCGTTTGTCATCTCATGCCAGGTGACAGCTCCTTTGAATCCAAGATCTCGAGTCTGTCCGTACACCAGAATTTTTCTGGCAGCCTTGGGTGACAGGCAGAGTGTGTTTCTTCTGCAATTGTAAAAGTACAGGTACAGGGATATTCACAGAGCAGGAGGACGGACTGGAAAAGTATCGGAGGGAACTAAAGGAACTGTCTGAACAGCATCTCTGGCTGTGACTAGAAAGCAAGCATGGCCAGTGTGTAAATGGGAAGCTGAAACATGTTAATGCATATCTGTGCCTTTCATTTTCCATACACCACCTTCAAGAGTGGTGCCCATTTCCATGGAAAATTTTTTCAGTGCTCTCTGTGCATCCATCTTATGCTGCAAGAAAATTGTAAAGCCTCTGTTGTAACTCGTGAAAGAGGGATGTTGCAGAGACTCTGACAGTGTGTGCTTCCCCTGCCATGGCTTGCTCTGTGGTTCCCTTTCACTCACATGCTCTCCCTTCTAAAGCCCACTGGATGCTGGCTCTGGAGGCTGACTTCATGATCTGCTGTCTTGCTTGAGGAGCTCTGGGAGTCCGTGGCCACTAGGGATCAGGGCTACACTGACTTCCTCTGCAGTCCTGCATTTCTCTTTCACATTCCTTCTCAGCTTATGCAGGGCTCAATTGGAGGGTTTGCCATCTTTGTCAGAAAAGAGGCTGCTTTCTTCTCTTCTGTTTTTCCAGCCATGTGATAAAGCCCCTACAGCTTTAGAGCCTTTAGAACAAGGAAAGGGTAACGAGTCCTCTGTTCACCTGCAGAGAGAGGAGTTGATGCGGTCGTGTAAGACATGGAGAGCCAGAGAGATCAGCTGGAATGGAACCAAATTAAATGCGTTTACTCTGCACTGTTCCATTAATGCCAAGTAATTACCACATACAGTGGGATTTTTGTTTTGCTTTGATTTGTTTCATTTTGGCACAAGAGAATTCTTTTCAAATGTGAGTGCATTAGGCAGTCCGGTCTTCTGGGCTCTTAGGTAAATTATAACAAGCCTTCCCTATTCCCATAGTGCCTCTCCCTTCCCCCTGGCATTTGAAAAGCTGGCAATGCAAAGATGGAAAATGCAAATGCAGAGAGGAAGTCTTTTTCCCAGTGGCAGCGATGCTGGTTCTGACGCTCTGGTGCAAACTCCTGGCCTGACTCCTATCCCCAGGATAGGATTTGCTGCCTCAGCAAATTCAAAGTTGCCCAAAGATGGGTATCAGAGAAATGCTCCAGCTAGAGGAAAAATTTCACTGGGAATATAATTCTCTTGTGGTTGAATGTGCAAGTACTGCCTGATCCCACTGGCACCCTGATCTCTGAAAGCAGTGCTGCCAAAATACAAAACCCATGCTCAGGCTGCCATGAAATTCCTAAGCTAACCATCCATACTGGACACTAGAGACCATCTTGAAAAATGTATGGAGATGGGTCAGAGAGATGCAAAACTGCTGTATCAAAACCCTTCTTGTATTTTGGGGGCCAGGCAGCCATAAATGTAACAATTCTCCTCTTTGCTCAGTGAAGTGATAATTTCTATAGTGAAGAGCTGATAGGTTTTCTTGTTTTCATTTGATGAGTATCTGGAGGAAAAGAAAAGAAATACATTAAGGTCTGTTGCTACTCCAGTTTTACTTTTCACACATAGTGTCCCAGTCCCACAAATCCCCAGATCCAATCTTAAGGCTTTCAAAGTGCCACTGGGAGGTGGGTCAGGACCTCTACCTAAAGACATTAATCAGACTGATCATTCATGTAAAAACATTGTGTAGCCCAGTGGGGTGATGCTTATTCCATGTTTGGCATGTGAATGGTGGTACCTCCTTTTTCCTCTCTTTCTTGCAGTGACTCTAAAAAAACATGTTATATATGTGCCAACTTACAGGAACCTCATTTCCCCACTTGATTCTCCCTAAAAACTCCTAAACAGGCCTCAACCTGTGTTGTGGATCCCAGCTGATGGGAAGACAGGATGACATGGGGAGAAGGAGACTCCACGATTGAATGTTGTCCCAGTTTTCAGACATGTTGTCCTTTCCCTTTCACTGCCTCTTAGTGGTCTGGCATGGGGCTGGTTCAAAATTCACATACCTTATGCTCCAGCTGGGACCTGTGGCAGATCTGCTTTCAGCCATGGAAAGGGAACATTTTTGCATTACCTTTAGCTGCACCATGTTCCTGAAATAAGATACTTTGTTGTGAGCGTACATCCAGGCTTGTGGATGTCCTGTGCTTAGGTCATGCTCCACCCTGGTCATTCCTGCTCTCTAAATGAGCCACACAATTTGAGGATAAGCAGAGGATTCAATTTTTAGACTCAAAAGTCACATGTCAGCAGTATGCCTGCTATAGACTGTATATATGAATCATACAATATCATGCAGTGCAAAAGCAGTGGAACAGGCACAGGCAGCAGCACCCTCAACTTCTGTAACATGTACCTGTTCAGCAGTCAGCCAGGAGCAATTGCCAAGACTGAAAGACAGCTATAGCCACTGAGAAACTGCACAGCAGTGTCGCCCTGAAAACTCAGTTTTTCGATCTTGTTAACATAGTTTCTAAAAGCTTTCCCAGGACAGTGACTGTAAACAAAGATATGTATACATTCTTTCTGATACATGTTTTTTGATGGATGTCTGGCACGACCAGTGTGATTGGAAAGGTGGTAACCTAACTATCCAATCCCTGGTCATTGCTGAGAATCTATAAATACTGAAGTTGCAAGAATAAAACCAGGTTTTTTCCCCCTGTTATATGGGAGCCGTGTCTGTGTGAGTCATTGCGTGTCCTACAGCAACACAGCAGAAGGACACGCTCAGTTTGAGCTGTGGGGAAGTTTATTGTTTCATAGCATCAAACAAGCAGCACTCACTTTACAGGGGCTGTTACCTGCTCCTGAGCACTAGTCCTCAGACGGGGGAACTGCAGCATGCCTTATGCAGCTGGATAAGGTCTTCCCATTAATGAAAGCAGTTGTAAGATGAGAAGTGTCCAGGATGTCTGCTGGAGGAAGGATGAAATCACACACTACTGTCTCATTAGCATCCAGCTTTCCTCACTTGCCTTAGAACTGTGGGCTCTTCACTCCATTTCACTGCTGGAGCTAGAGTATGTTAAACTTTGGCAGGTGTTGATGATCTTGCCTTTGTCTGGGACTGCTGTCCTTGATTATGACATTCAGGGGTTCTTTTCCTGGCCCTTAACTGGTCATTCACTACCTTTGGAACCTTCCCTTGTCACTCATTTCCTACATTTTTGTTGAGTAGTTAGGACTATCTCGATAGTTATTATAGAGCTAATAAGTGTTCTGTCTCTGTTATCTCAAACCTTGAATTTCTGTAAGAAATACAGATCGGATAAAGCATCTTTTGCATTTCCAGATGAAAATGTGCACAAATCTGAATCATGATTATTATCCACAAGCTTGTTTTTTCATTACTAACAAGGCCATTTTAACACTCAGGGTTCATCATATTTATGCAAGATTGGGGACTAAATTTTAAAAAGCAAGAGAGAACAAATCATAGGTCTCAGTGAGGTGACTAGTAACTGCTTTGAATGTGTGCTGTTTTGTTGGGAGTCTCCTTTGGAAATAATTGTTACAGTCCCCAGGTATCCTATTACTGTGTGCTCTGGTTTTACATAGAATATACCTGCATTATTTACTGATCATTCCTCTTCTCTTCAGATCAGAGGATCTAATTTCCAAAACCTTGTCATGCTGCTCATGTTGCTCTGAGAGGGAAGAGACTGTCCACCTTTCCATTTTTGTAGGGGTAGAATTACACTTGTATGCATAAGGAGTATTAGAGGAATTTTTTTTAAGGTGAAGAGGAAATGCACAAAGATAAGCCTGCCTTCCATGATTGGTGTCACTTGACTATCCTGACATGTGGTTCATTTGCTGAGTTCAGTTTCTGGTCAGAGTAACTGCTTTTATTTGTGAGTTTCTGCAAGTGGGTGTTGTTTGCCTGACACTCAAGTGTTGTTGGATGTCCATTTCCCACAGGTTTGTGTTCTGCCTGCCCACTGAAACTGGAAGTCCTGCCTCTTTGGGTGCTGCTATTTAGAACTTCTATTAACTGAGCAATTTTGCCTACTCATAAGCAAAATCAAGAAAAGAGCTTTTTCTTTGGTCTGCCTGAAATGCTTCTCTCATCTCTGTGACTTTCCAAGAGCTGCAAATAAAAAAGGGGGAAAAAAAGAGCATTCATAACAAATTTTTTGCAAGATTTTTGTCTTTGGCTATAAAATCAAGCATATGCTATAGTTGTACGTAATCACCTGAGTACTTAGAAGTAGACATGGGTGCACAGTGGTTTTGGCTGTGAGCAGTGGAAATTAATGAATTTGTCAATATAAATTTGCAGCAGGAGTTGCCATCATGAAGGTCATGGCTGCCTGGCTCTGGCAATGTTGACAAATAATAAGAGAATCAAGCTTTAATGGAAAGGAGGGAATCCTCTCTCTCCTTCCCACTGCTGGCACCCTCAGTTAAAAGCACTGCTGAGTTGAAGGGATTTCTCCATCAGAGCTAATTACCCAAAATTATTTCAAAGTCTTATGCCTGTGTAAACAACTCTGAATAGGAGCTTTTTGCAGTAGCATTTACATCAGAAGGTTTTTTCTCTGGATATCACTCATTTTGTTTCCTGTTGTTGACAGAATATATTGACGGTGTTGCCTCCTACCTTAAGGAGCTGTCAAGTTACAGAGTATGCAATCCCTAAATCCAGGCTGAAATTATCCTCCTTCTATATCCCTCAGTTTCTCCCTCTTGTTGGTATCACTGGTAGTTGAAGACTGTTCCTTTCCTGTCAGGACACTGCAGGCCTTGCATTCATCAGGAATGGGCATTTGGGATATGGTCTAGAATACTGCACGGATTGGATCTTGAATATGTGTATTCTCCTGCCTGGGACTGGAAAACAAATTAAATTAATTAGAGTAAAGCTAATGCTATTGGATGCTATTCTGGATAAAGAACAAGTTTTGGAGTGGGAAAGCTGTTACAGATAATTTCATTTACATTTTGACCCTTTCTTTACAGCCACAGGGACTTAAAACCAGAAAACCTACTGCTGGATGAAAAGAACAACATCCGGATAGCAGACTTCGGGATGGCGTCACTGCAGGTTGGGGACAGCTTGTTAGAAACCAGTTGTGGGTGAGTATCTCAAAGCATATTACAAAAATGAGGGACAGATTCCAGACATAGAGGTTGTCTATAGAAAGGGTTTCGGTAAAGACCTGGAGACCTACCCACTGCACTGGTGCTTCCCAGCAAGACAATAAATTTATATAATGCATGTAGTGTGGAAGAAAGCTGAAAGAAGGGGATTAAGTGCTTTACAGTGCAGGCCATGGCAGGTGTCACATACAGATACAAAAATCAAGGCTTTCAGGTTTGGATTCATCTGCGTATGCTGATGTATTTGCCATAGAATTGCCATAGAATCTAGCCATAGAATTTTTGGGAACTAAAAGCAGTGGTTGACTGTTTTGAGAGGCTTTGAAAAAATATTAAGGGGTGGAAAAATGTTCTTAAATGGAATTTGCATGTCCTGCATAGGCTTGCATGCAGCTGTTTGTGTTCATGCTCAACACTGCTTCTGTCAGCTCCCATTCAGGAGTGACAGGGAAGAAGCAGGGTCCTTTGCAATGACAGGCAGGGCATGAATGCAGGTACAAAGAGCCTGCCTGGAGGAATATTGCAGGGGCAGTCTAAAGATATTTCCATGGGAATTCAGTTGCCTTCGGGCACCACTGGACCCTGCTCCCTGATTCCCAGTGCAGTAGTGACTGTGCAGGGGCTGTGGCACCGAGCTGTAGCAAGGCAGCAGCTGCACCGAGCTGCTGCATCCTGGCACCACTACACCAGCTTTTAGCTGTGTGTTGATCTGTTTTAACAGCAAGCACAGAAACCAGACAGTACCAGCAAATTTCCACTTCCTCCCATGCAGACTGACTTTTCCTGGCCATTGGTAGTGTGATTCTGATGCCTTCAGCCCAGGTCCCTCCTCAGCTGGTTACAGTTCATGGTTTTTTTGGTGTCTTCTCTGAGCCAAGGCAGTTCATAGAGCCATTGTTGTTCCCTCTAAAGCTCAGCCACTGCCTCTCAGTCCTAGGCTCTGCTTTCCAGGTCATGAATAATGGATAGAAAAAGTATTTGAAATTCATTATATGATAGAATGCTGGTTGGTGAGTAAACTGGGACCCACCGATTCTCTCCTGTCCATGTCAAGCCAAGATCTGTGGTCTTAGCAGCACAGATGAAAAGCAAGGAGTTGTGATGCCAAGGTCAATTACAATGCCCTGCACTTGGGTAACTAGATACTCAGTATCATCAAAACAGTCTGAGGGTTGAAAAGATTCAGAGCAGTGCTGCTGAGAAGGGCTTGGGGGCACTGGTGAGATGAAAGGCTGGATGTGACCCAGCAATGTGCACTTGCAGCCCAGAAAGACAAACATGTCCTGGGCTGCATTTAAAGCAGCATGGCCAGCAAGGAGAGGGAGGGGATGCTTCTGCTCTGCTCTGCTCTGCTCTATTCTGCTCTATTCTGCTCTGCTCTGCTCTCTGCTCTGGTGAGACCTGAACTGCATCCAGCTTTGGAGGATCCATAGCATAAGAGGGATATGAACCTGCTAAGAGTGGGCCCGGAGGAGGCCATGAAGGTAGTTTGAGCACTGTAGCATCTTCCCCATGAGGACAAACTTACAGAGTTGGGGTTATTCAGTATGGAGAGAAAAGACTCCAGGAGATCTTATTGCAAACTTTCAGTACTGAAAAGAGGACTATGAAAAAGATGAGGACAGACATTTTAGCAGGACCTGTTGTGATAAGACAAGGGATAATTGTTTTAAACTAAAAAAAGGTCAATGTGGATTAGATACAAAGAAGAAGTTTTTCACACTGAGGGTGGTATAACACTGAACAGGTTTCCCAGAGATGATAGATCCCCCATCCCTGGGAACATTCAGTGTCTGGTTGGATGGGACACTGAGAAACTTGATCTAGTTGAATATATCCCTGCTCTTTGCAGGGGCATTGGACTAGTTAAGTTTTAAAGATCGCTTCCAATCCAAACTGTTCTGTGATTCTGCATATCTGTTGCTTCCAGCTTCTTTCAAGCTTCCCTTCTAGATGAGGAAATGCAGTCCTCCCTGCAGCTGCCACAAAGCCTCTATATTCTCCAGAGAAAATTGTTCCCCTTCCTTGTGTGAGGAAAAAAAAAAAAAGAGTATAAAAACCAATCCAGCCAGCCTCAATTGCCTTGTAGGATTTCTCAAGCTCCTCAGGAACCTCTCAGTAGGGTTTCTGTTCTTGTTAGCACTGAGCTCTGTTATCCAGATCCGGAGTCTCAAAGGAGGGCTTCCTTCCCATAAGCTGTGCTGGAATTCAAACCTCCATGCTTCAAGCAGATCCAGCCCCCACATTGTGGCCTTAAAATGCACTAATAAAGAAATCAATGGAATGGAAGAGATGTGCCTGTAATAAACAGAACACAGCAGCAACGCTATGATCTCCTGCCTTGCAGATGCATTTTAAGTGTGTTGCCAATCACTAGGCCTCCATGTGAGCTATTACACCACTTCATTAATTCTCCTGGCATGCAGCCCAGCATGGCTGATACTGGTGTCTTGTGATCTTTCCGGTTTGGGGGGTGAAGGAAGGAAGGAATATAAAACAATATGCCACACGGTTCATAGAGAAGAGTAATCCAGTTATGACTCCCTTTCCCTTGGAGCACACGCTGTAACCAACCTCAGAGCTTTTCAAGGCAACAGTTTTACCTACCCATGTAGTTGGTTCTTTCAGCCAGCATGAAAAGGAACAAAACAGAGTGAATCATGGCTGAGATACTGAGCTTTAATGAGATGCTCCTCCGTGCACCCATAAGTTAATTTCGAGAATGGCTTTATTCGTACTGTGAACACTGATAATGAGATGAAACTGTAACATTTCCATTGACAGTCATGCAGGGAGTCTCCAGGTATTTCTGTCAGTCAGAGTGGGAGGCTCAGATGGGGTTGAGCTGTGTGATACAGCTAACTTTGTCAGTTCATCAAAGCGGGGAGACTGCAGTCAAAAATTCTTTGCTATCACAAGTGAACTGCTAAGTTTAGTCCAAAGTTTGGGTAGT